AAGGTTGCATATAGCATTCGGTTTATATTCGATCGGAGTTCGCATATATTATACATTATTGATTGTCGTGAATTTCAATTTAGATTTACTAAATATTTATGTTAGTCGAATTCAGTTATTGTTGAATATATCTAATACGAGGATGAAGGAATCGTGTTGTAACTTTGGAGTGTGGGGGTGGCGGTGGTTCAGGTGGCTTGGTAGCGATGATGGTTAATTATGATGTATTTCAGGATCCATTTGGTAGATTTTTGTAAACGTGGGTGCTAGCAAGTTTTGTTAGATTATTTAGAATTAAGATTAAATTGATTTAATGTTTAAATATAAATGGTTAAAATTGATATTATCCCAATTAAAAAGGAGAAACACAATTATTATCGTTATTTATTTAATCATCGTTATCATGATTGATCAAAATTTTTAAAATGAGTATTTTAATTGATTTTTTTTTGTTTAGTGGCCAAAATAGAAAAATAATCAGTTTATTTATTTTATAGTTTGAGGTGATTATAAGGTAAAATTTGTTCGTACATACTTTGCAAACAAGTTACTCAAATTTGTAGCTTTTATAAAGAACAACCTTATCTTTTACTACTAAGTTCATTCAGTAAGTTAAAAAAACAACCATATTTTAATAACGTAATTTAATCTAAAATATATCATTATGATAATATTTAGGTTGTACTTCATGTTTATTTTCGCAACTTTTATCATGCTTTTTATTTTGATCATTTAACTATAGAAAATTTCAATTTAACTCTTGAACTTTCAAATTAAACTCGTTTAAGTCACTTGCACATTAAGTACTAGCACCAAAATGTTGAGTTTTAGAACTTTTACTTCTGAAATTGACCTAAAATTTGAAAGAAAAATTTTGAGGTTTTTCATAAATTCATCAAAAAAATAATATAATATTAAAGAATTAATGACGGAGTGATAGAAAAAACAAAATTAGACAACATTATAATTTAACTCATTTTAACAGTGCGTTGAATCCCTTTAAGAGATCCTTCATAGTTTCATGTGGACTTTATGTAAAAATATTTTTTTTTAAAAACATAGCAAATAGCATTTGATTGTAATGTTGCTCAAAGGAAAACACATGATCGTCGTTTCCTTGCTGGCTTTCGCTTTGGTTTTGGTGGCCTCAATGCTACCTTTAATGCAACATCGAAAACTGCCTTCACATTCTGAAAAACAAAAACCAACAAAGCAAAGTTGATTAGTCTTTTAAACATTTTAGGTTCTCTAAATTTAATAATTTAATCCCTTCAAAATTGGTTAAAGGCTAAAACAATAGAAACGGGGTACCTGTTGGGTTTTGGAACTGCATTCAATGGAAGTCACTGCACCTATCATCCTCTTCACTTCCTCTCCCTGTTCCATCTTTTTTTTTATTATTATTGAACCAAATAATGAACTATAAGCACTAGTAAAATTACATAATTATTTAATCTTAGACGCTAATTTAACTTGCCTGAGAAGTTGTTATTGATGTTGTTCCTGGGTGGTCACTCAAGAACTGCTTGTCATCTCGTAAATCTGGTAAAATTACATTTTGATCCTTAAAATGAGAAACTTGTATTTTATTATTTTAAAAACTATAATATTTTAAGTTAATATATAGATGAAATTACATTCTCGGGGTAGCTCAAAGTTAAAAAGAAGTTATCCAAACTCTAATTTAGTAAGTCGAATAATTTAATTTTTTTGAATAGGTGTATTTTAATTCGTGTATGTACTAATTTAAAGTCGGATTAAGCTTACCTAATTTGGTTCCGACAAGAACAATTGGCACATTAGGAGCATGATGTCTAAGCTCATGAATCCACTGCTAACCATGAAACATAAAATTTATAGATGATAACGAGTTAATAATTACAAAGCAATACAAATAAAGGTAAGAACAGATAAATTTAGGCTCTGAAAACGAAAGAATTACAAATAAAGAAGAAGAGTTTTACTACAGTCGATGAAAATTTATTTCATATTATAAAAGAATTTTTTTAATAAATGAGGGTGAATACAAAATGATATATGTTCAAATTCTCTTAATCATTTGACAATAAATGCTCATACTTTTAACATATGCAATGCTCGAACTTACGAACTCAAGTCATAATAAGTACCTTAACTACTAAGATTGGCGGATTCATATATATTATGAAAGAATTTATAGTAAATACTCATGCGTTCTTAATTTATTTTTATTAAATGATCACACTGAATTAAATAGAATTCAAATCATAAAGTTTAACGATTTACAGAAAAATGGAAATCACCTTCTTGTGAACATTTTCGTAACTTGGCTTGCTTATAAGAGAAAAGGCCAGCAGAAACACATCAGCTCCTCTATAACTCAGAGGTCTCAGCCCTGTTGTAATCTTCCTGTCCTGAAATTCACATATTCTAACTTTTAAAAACCGAAACCACCTGAATCGGATTTCACCGGTTACTATCTAAATCAAATAGTAATCGAATTGAACCGAGCCGACTATAAAATCAGTGTAGTTAAAATAACTGTTGATTCAAAACATTTGGTTACTATATGAATCAAAATCGAACATAAACTAAGCTGAACACTGGATTCCTAGCCTAGAGTCATGAATCTACCGGCAGTGTCCCATAGGCCAAGGTTCACTGTACTTCCATCCACCACCACATTAGCACTAAAGTTATCAAACACTGTCGGGACATAATCCTGCGTCAAGAGAAAACATCTATTATACTATCCCAATTCGATTAGTCGATCAATTCATCAGTATTCACAAAATAACATTCCAAATGTTATCATGATTACCGTTGGGAAAATATTGCTAGTATACGAAATAAGCATACAAGTCTTTCCAACTGCTCCGTCGCCCACGGTGACACACTTGATAAACCTTGCCGTACTCATTTTCTTCGTGGTGGCGGCCTTCTCAACAACCCTAAACTCGGTTCGTAACTACGATTGTCGAAGAAGAAGATGGTGAGGAATTGTGAGGTTTATATGAAGGAAGAAACGAAAACTTTAGATATGATTGAAAAATGGGTGGCCTTTTGGTTCCTTCAAGTGGAAGAATTAGGTTATAAGAAGAACAAAATAATAATAATAATAGTGATTAAAGTGGAGTTCGGTGTTGGTGTGTTAGTTGGTTTAAGTGTTGAAGAAGGGATATATGGAAAAGTACACTTTTTCCCGACACAAATTAGTGTCGGTTTAATTGAATAAGACGTTAAACTTTTTAATTAAGATTAAAAATTCAAATTCTGATATTATGAATGAAAAAAATTAGGTTAAAAAAAGTGTTCTTATAATAAACCGTTATAACATTTGATATTAATTAATCAATTAATGAATGAGACATTGAATATAAAACAAAAACAAAAAAATTGGTGCTTTATAATGACTTACATAATAGTTTGCTCTTTTGCTCCCCCGCCAATCTTTTGAGTCCTCAAAAACAAAGAGTGGGGGGGGGGGGGGAAGACAATGGAATTAGTGATGTTTACGGCACATTTACTCATCTTTACGTTAAGATAACCTTTCTAATTATTTTACTTGGTCCCAGGAGATGGGACATAGTTTGCAAGGTCTAATTACGATTTTAGTCCATCTATATTGAAATTCAATATTTAATCTTTCCGTTTTAATTTGATTCTTTATTATAAAGTTATTAGCATGCTCAAATTCACACAAGGGTGGAGTTAGAAAATTTATTTTGGGGTGTCAAATTTATTTTATTAAACTTGTTACCTTTTTAGTATTTTTTAGATTTTTTTAATTTTTAACTTTTTCACATTTTTAATATTTTTATATATTTTTTTAAAAAAAATTATTCAAGTATAATTATATTTTTTGTATTTTTCTAAAATTAGAAAGTTGTTGAGGAAAATTAGATATAAAATCATTATTCAATGACTTATTTGGTGTTTTAGCAATAGTTTAGGGGTAAAATTAAATATTTACCTTTTTTAATATTGTCACGTCATCAATTTAATGGAGATACTAATGGAGTGATCATTTTATTAAAAATCGATAACGCTAGTGATCTTTTGTTACAAATCGATAATATTAGTGATTAATTTGTTTTAATGAAAAAATAAAAACTTACTTAAATATTAGTGACCATTTATGTAGTTTATCCTAAATATTGTTTAAAATTTAGATAGCTTCCTTTTCAAGTGTGTCAAAATCTTTTTAAAAAAGGTTGTAATTTTTCATTTTCATATAATATATATATATATATATATATATATATATATTTATGTGAAAATTGTTTCTTTTTATAAACTTTTGGGTGTCAATTGACACCCTTAAATATACATTGGCTCTGCCACTGAATCCACAAAATATAATTTGTGGTCGTAATTTGATTTTAGTCCATCTATATTGAGATCAGTCGGTTGTTAGCCTGATTTAATATTTTTAAAGGCATAAATCATTAAATTTTGATTGAAAAGTTATTTTAGCCCCTATTATTTCTATTATTTTTTAAAAGTATTTTAAATTTTAACGTTTTATTTAAATTAAAATAATCCATGAATAGATAAAAACTTTTAATTGACTATTGACCAATGTCTGTTATTAACATGAAACATTCTGTGTCTAAAGTGTTGATATAACACTATCACGTATACTAAGTGATGATGTGATGCATATTTTTATCTAAAATAATGATGTGATACATATCACGAATACATAAATAATACCGCTTTATATATCTCCAAAATTTTAGTTTGTTATTGTCCAAATACACTCTTAACCAGTACAATATAAGCATTCATCGTGGCCAACTGAATTTTAGCTCCAAATTCGATGAGTTCAAATACATTTAGACATAATCACCTCCGGTTTAAGGGTCTCGGATTATAACTTGTTGATTGAATTCAATTATTTCAAATGTGACAAGCAAATTTCATAAAGAAAGTATATCATGAAAAATCAAAGAAACCTGAAAGCAAGGCATGCGAATTCATGATAAAATCATTCATGTAATAATTTTCAAGCCCCGGTGCTAGAAGAAACTCTTTCCATTTAGCATGGTTAGCCCTCGTGACCTCGTCTCTTTCCCCAACTCATTACCGTCGTCCATTACAGTCTTCACCGCCCTGCAAATATCATCCTTTGTAAACAGCCCATTCTCTTCGCCTTTCTCAACCTCCACTCCAGTTCTCAAGTCTCGAGCCATCAATCTCGCGTTAATTATTTGGTCCCCGAAGTGGGGTAACAGCACCAGTTGACAATCATTCACCATACCCTCTACCAACGAGCCTGGCCCACAGTGGGTGACGAAACACCCAACGCTTTAGGATCAGTTGTTGTGGCACCCAGCCTCCATAGACGAACCCTCTTCTCAGGGACCAGGTCAGAATTTTAGTTTAGGGACAAGGTATAATTAACAATAGAAAATGAGGGAAAAAATCAAAATTTAAAGGTTTAAATTGGTAGTTATCCCTAATTTTTTAATGGTAAAAAAATTGGTGGCAGTGGCCCCCGGGGCCTACATGGCTCCATCACTGCCTCTTCCTTTTACTCTTTCTTCGAACACTCACTTCTGAAGGCACAGAATATCACAGTCCCCGCTCCGAATCGGCTTAATAACTTTTCCCATTGTTCTTCCAACGTCGTCTTCGGCGATTCCAACACGACCGGACCAGCATAAAGCACTGGCTTCTAACATATTCACGGTTAGTAATGTAAATATAAAGAGAGATTCTTAAAGAGTTGTTATTTATTTTTAAGATGTGGTTGGAATGGATAATTGTTAATTGATAAATTTACCCATTTACTACTCCTATAAAAAGGATGTGCATCTTCTTAATTTTACTATAATTGATTGTTTTTATATTTCCTTCTTGAAAAACTTCTTGAAAAATTTCTGATCGAAGAGAGTAGCAAGAGCTGGTTTCACTTCCTCATTTCGGGTGTACGAGGTATGGAAGACTGTGATAATTTTGGGGGCAATGTCCACTTCCGGAATTACAACAATCCGGAAGAAATTAATTTTAAGACAGTGGCTTTCATACCACGATACAATAAATCAATCTATTTTCATCATTATATGATTATTATTTGATAATCAATGCTAACGATTTTGCTTTGCAGCTGTATTTTTTTCCAACAATTTAGAAACAAGTTGTTATACTGCTGACAAATGTGAAGATGAACATCAATAAGAAATGCAGGAAAATTAATATCCATCTCAAATCATGCATTAAATATTCTTAAAGTATTGCAAAGTATATATACATACGTGTGCGTGTATGTATGTGTATATATATATACAGGGTAGATGTTTGGTCGAATTAGATTACAATATTATTTTAATGAGCTTCAACTGACATTCTTTATATTATTGTGAAATTTTTTGATAGTTTTGATATTTACATGAATAAATTGACAAGGTATTCTGTTATCAAAGTTCGATCTTGATAAAATTATAATCAGAGTAAATGAGAGCGAGGAATCATATGTGGAGGGTTGATCGATGAATTCCGTACGTGGCAGTGACCACTATTCTCAAATTTGTTAAAAAAAATATATAAAAAAGAACAGTTTACTTTTTGCAGTTTGAATAAATAATTAAAATATATTAAAATGTAGAGATTGTGGAATTGGTTGCCACGAAAAATGCCAATAAGCACGGAAAAGGGTGAACGTCTGGCGGAGATACATTGTTACCATTGCGACCAACTTTGTACTCAATTATCATCTTCCTGCGAAAATAAATGTACAACATATATATTAATTTGATTGCATTATAAGTGGTATACTCATCGTTCACTCAATATCCAGATTATATATTTTTAATTTATTTGTATGTTAGAAGCATATATTAATTCTATAAAATAAAATATCACATGCTTAAAAGTGTTTAATTCTATGAGCAGGACTATAGATTTTGATTTTAAGTGTGACATGAAATTTGCATGTGATAAATTTCTTATGTGTAGAAGATATTGGTCTTTAAAGGGTGAGAATAAATCAGATTGAGCCTTCATAAAATTTAAAGACTAATATAACCACTATAGCACAATATATATAATTTGTTTTGTTACAAAACATAGTAAAATGGGAGGAAATATAGGGTGACAAATCATAAATGGTTGATTGAAAAGTAGTTTGATAAAATGAGAGTGCATGTTACCTGGTGCACTTCTATGATCACTATTTCAATTCATTAAATATTATGACAAGTGTTAAAAGTTTCAAAGTTTGGCAACCAACTTTGGAAAATGTTTTTTCAAAGTTTGGTAAATGTTTCTTTGAAAAATGTTTTTCAAAGTTTGGTAAAATTTTGGTAGATGTTTGTTGAAAATAGGAATGGGTAAATTCACTTTAGTCATTGCACTTTAGGGTATTTTCAAAGATTAGTCCCTAAGTTTCTACTATAAATACCCTTACCCATTTAGCTTCAAAATCATCCCAAAACATTTCTTTCTTCCTATACTAGAGAGCTTTCTTGTGAGTAGTGAGTGTTTTGTAAACACCTGTAAATTTTCTCTCTTAGTAAAAGATCTGCAGCAGCCCGGAGACGTAAGCACAATTGGCTGAACTCCGTTATCAATTTTCGGGTATTATTTTTCCGCTTTTATTTCGCATTCTCACTAATCTGGTTATAGGGAAATTACTTGTACTCGGTTTATTTTCCTAACAACTGGTATCAGAGCTTTTGGTTGTGAATTTTGTCAAATTTTCTGCGAGGTTACTATTCATTACTATTCACGTGAATAGTGAATTTCGTGAATAGTGAAATTCGGTCGGCGATACGAGTTTATCGACGGTGGTGTTCTAATACACAGTGATTCGCAAGAATTGTCAGAAACGATCCAAACGAAGCCAGATTCGAGTGGGAGCGATGGCTGCAGACGAAGGGAAGGTGAAAATTGAAAAGTTCGATGGTGCGGACTTTGGCTTTTGGAAGATGCAGATTGAAGATTTTTTGTACCAGAAAAATCTATATCAACCTCTCTCAGGAAAGCAACCAGAGGGCATGAAGGATGAAGATTGGGCTCTTCTCGACAGACAAGCCCTCGGAGTTATCCGACTGACGTTATCCCGCAATGTTGCTTTTAACATAGCAAAGGAAAAGACCACGGCGGGTCTTATGGCGGCTCTCTCCAGTATGTACGAGAAGCCATCGGCCTCAAACAAAGTTCATTTGATGAGGCGATTATTCAATTTGCGGATGGCGGAAGGGGCATCGGTGGCACAACACCTAAATGAACTCAACACAATCACAACCCAGTTGAGTTCAGTGGAAATTGAGTTCGATGATGAAGTTCGAGCTTTAATTCTCTTATCATCTCTACCAGACAGTTGGAATGCTACTGTTACAGCAGTCAGCAGTTCGTCGGGAAACAGCAAATTAAAATTCGACGATGTTCGAGATCTGGTATTGAGTGAAGAAATTCGACGAAGAGAATCGGGTGAAGCATCAACCTCCTCAGCCTTACACACGGAGTCTAGAGGGAGAACTTCAGAAAGAAATTCAAATCGTGGCAGATCAAAATCTAGAAGGGGCAAATCAAGAACAGGAAATAAAGATTTTACCTGTTATAATTGCGGCAAAAAGGGTCACTTCAAAAGAGATTGCCGAGCACCGAAGAAAAATACCGGCGCACAGGAATCTGCCAACATGACGGAGGAGACAGGTGATGCCATGATTTTAAGCGTCAACAGTCCGATTGAATCATGGATCTTGGATTCAGGGGCATCTTTCCACTCCACCCCATGTCGAGAAATCATGGAGAACTATGTCAGTGGTGATTTTGGGAAGGTTCATCTTGCTGATGATGAAACCTTAAAGATCGTCGGAAAAGGAGACATCCGACTAAAGTTGCCAAACCAGACCACCTGGAAGCTGACAGGAGTGAGACATATTCCTGGCCTCAAAAGAAATCTGATTTCTGTTGGACAGCTTGATGGAGAAGGATATAGCACAACCTTTTCAGGCTGTGAATGGAAGATTACCAAAGGAGCACTCGTCATTGCTCGTGGTAAGAAGACTGGTACTCTCTATGTAACCTCAAATTTAGAGAATATCATTGCAGTAGCAGATGCTGATGGAAAATCAAACCTATGGCACCAAAGGCTTGGCCATATGAGCGAGAAAGGGATGAAGACACTTTTGTCAAAAGGGAAGCTGCCGGATCTAAAAAATGTAGATGTCGGACTATGCGAGGATTGCATCTTTGGCAAACAAAAGAAAGTCAGTTTTGCAAAGATTGGCAAGACACCCAAGGCAGAAAGGTTAGAATTGGTTCATACTGATGTATGGGGACCATCCCCAGTTCCATCTCTTGCAGGCTCACTATATTATGTCACCTTCATCGATGATTCAACAAGGAAGGTGTGGGTTTATTTTCTGAAGAAGAAATCAGAAGTCTTCGATATCTTCAGAAAATGGAAGGCCATGGTGGAAAATGAGACTGGTTTGAAAGTCAAGCGGTTGAGGTCTGACAATGGAGGAGAGTACAGAGACAGTAGATTCAGAGATTTCTGCGCAAACAATGGGATCAAGATGGAGACAACAGTTCCCAAGACACCGCAACATAATGGTGTAGCAGAGCGCATGAACAGAACTCTGAATGAACGTGCCAGAAGTATGAGGATACATGCCGGCTTGCCCAAATTTCTATGGGCTGAAGCAATCAACACTGCAGCTTACTTGATCAACCGTGGGCCCTCAGTTCCTTTGGATGGCAGAATACCAGAGGAAGTTTGGAGCAAGAAAGAAATAAACCTTTCACACTTAAGAGTGTTTGGTTGTATTTCTTATGTACACATAGACTCTGTTGAAAGAAGTAAGCTTGATGCTAAGTCCAACAAATGTGCCTTTGTTGGTTATGGCGGTGATGAGTTCGGTTACCGGTTTTGGGACTATGAAAATCGGAAGATCATCAGAAGCAGAGACGTCATTTTCAATGAAAATGTGATGTACAAAGATAGATCAACCGCAGAATCAAGTAATACCGAAGCTGAAACAAAGGAATTTGCTGAGTTCGAGGAGATTTCTGGAAATGATGTTCAGATCAATCCTGAAGCAGTTCAAGAAGAACCAGGCACACCAGAACTGAGACGCTCATCCAGAATTCCTAAACCAACCCAACGGTATTCTCCTTCTTTACACTACTTGTTGCTGACTGACAATGGTGAACCAGAGTGCTATGATGAAGCAATGCAAGTGGAGGATTCAGTCAAGTGGGAGTCTTCCATGAAAGATGAGATGGACTCGCTTATGTCAAATCAGACATGGGAATTAGCTGAATTACCACCAGGCAAGAAAGCGCTCCACAACAAGTGGATTTACAGGATCAAAGAAGAGCACGATGGGAGCAAACGCTACAAAGCAAGATTGGTTGTCAAAGGCTTTCAGCAAAAAGAAGGTATTGACTACAATGAAATTTTCTCTCCAGTCGTAAAATTGTCTACAATCAGACTGGTGTTGAAAATTGTAGCTGCAGAGAATTTACATCTTGAGCAGTTAGATGTAAAGACAGCTTTCCTTCATGGTGATTTGGAGGAAGAAATCTATATGAGGCAGCCAGAAGGCTTCATAGAGGCAGACAAGAAAAACCTGGTATGCAGGTTGAAGAAGAGCTTGTATGGTTTAAAACAAGCTCCTAGACAGTGGTACAAGAAGTTCGATAGCTTCATGAGTAGCAGTGGTTTTATCAGATGCCAAGCAGATCATTGTTGCTACATCAAGAGGTTCGACAACAGCTTCATTATTTTATTATTGTACGTTGATGACATGCTCGTTGCAGGCTCAGACATGCAAGAGATTATACACTTGAAGCAAAAATTGTCGAAGCAGTTTGCTATGAAGGATCTGGGCGCTGCAAAGCAGATTCTTGGGATGAGGATCAAGAGAGACACAAAGTCGGGGACTTTGATGTTATCACAGGCTGAGTACATCAACAAAGTACTCTCCAGGTTCAACATGCAAGATGCTAAACCAGTAAGTACACCTTTAGGTGTTCATTTCAGACTCTCCAAAGACCAATCACCAAAGACGGAGGAAGAACGTGCACACATGGTGAAGGTGCCGTATGCCTCAGCAATTGGAAGTCTGATGTATGCCATGGTTTGTACCAGACCAGATATTGCTCATGCAGTGGGAGCTGTTAGCAGGTACATGAATAATCCGGGCAAGGTACACTGGGAAGCAGTCAAATGGATCCTCAGATATCTTCGGGGTACCACAAACAAAGCACTTTGTTTCAAAGGTGGAGATATGATACTGACAGGCTATGTAGATGCTGACTTAGCCGGAAATGTCGACATCAGAAGGAGCACTACAGGGTATGTCTATACTCTAGGAGGAACTGCAGTGAGTTGGGTTTCTCAACTACAGAAGATAGTTGCTCTCTCCACAACTGAAGCAGAATATGTCGCTGTTACGGAAGCCAGCAAGGAGATGGTTTGGCTCCAAAGTTTCTTGGAAGAGTTAGGCAAGAAACAAGAAAACAATATCTTGTATTGCGACAGTCAAAGTGCTATCCATCTAGCAAAGAATCCGTCTTTTCATTCCAGGACAAAGCACATACAATTGAGATATCATTTTATCCGGTCTCTTCTGGAAGATGGGATTTTGAAACTTGAAAAGATTAGTGGAGCTCAAAATCCGGCAGACATGTTGACAAAGACGGTGACTACGGACAAACTGAAGTTGTGTTCAGCTTCAGTTGGCATGCTAGAATAACAAGACCAGACATGCTGCTGCATTGATCGAGGTGTGAAGACATATTAAAATCAGTCTTCAAGTGGGAGATTGTTAAAAGTTTCAAAGTTTGGCAACCAACTTTGGAAAATGTTTTTTCAAAGTTTGGTAAATGTTTCTTTGAAAAATGTTTTTCAAAGTTTGGTAAAATTTTGGTAGATGTTTGTTGAAAATAGGAATGGGTAAATTCACTTTAGTCATTGCACTTTAGGGTATTTTCAAAGATTAGTCCCTAAGTTTCTACTATAAATACCCTTACCCATTTAGCTTCAAAATCATCCCAAAACATTTCTTTCTTCCTATACTAGAGAGCTTTCTTGTGAGTAGTGAGTGTTTTGTAAACACCTGTAAATTTTCTCTCTTAGTAAAAGATCTGCAGCAGCCCGGAGACGTAAGCACAATTGGCTGAACTCCGTTATCAATTTTCGGGTATTATTTTTCCGCTTTTATTTCGCATTCTCACTAATCTGGTTATAGGGAAATTACTTGTACTCGGTTTATTTTCCTAACAACAAGTTTACATTGAGAATGAGTTAAAAAATAAACTTTGATAATTGTATTAGATAAAAAAATTGTCATAGTAGTTGAACTATTAACGGTCTCTTCAATATTTGATTAATGTGATAGGTAATGCTACTAAAAATTTTAGCTATTAAAATTCTATTGTTTTGCTCTTATAATTGAGAAAAGAGAAGTGATTATCTATCCATTTGATTTTATGTTTAAAATCTAGCATGAATTTACTCTAATTTACTTTAGTAAAGCAGAAGGAGAATATCATTTACATGTCTTATATGTTATTAATTTAGACAATTGAGGTTAGATGATGTGGGGTAATTGAAAATTCTCTAGCCTATAGTATGTGGGGTGTCTAAAAGAATAAATTATTTCATATATTGTGTTGTGAAGCATATAAGTTTATAATTTATGTATACAAGAATAGTTTTTTAAAATTGCATGAATCTAGGAGAATTTTAATCCTTTTAGTTTAGAAATCTTGAATGATATATGTGAAATCATAGTAGGTATATGTTTATCTAAGTAGAGTAGCTTTTTTGAAAGCTTGTGAAAAATTGTTTTAATAGCTCTATTGTGAGGTTGGATGTCTAAAGAATCTAACGTTAAGTTTTGAATTTTTTTTTGAAGTTTAGATACTAAAACGGACCAAAATTAATAATTTAGGTATTAAACACGTTAAATTTTTAACGGTTGGATACTAAAACGAAATGAAAGCTAAACCTTAGGTGTAATTTTTAAAAAAGTGAAAATTTAGGTACTAAAAGGACCAAAACTATTAGTTAAATACTAAACGCGTAATTTATGCTTATTTTTATAATTAATGCTGACGTCGGTCATTGTAACAAAGGTTTTTTTTTCATTTTTATGGTCGTAATAATTTATTGTTCGATTGAAATCAAATCGGATTAAAATTGGAACATACTTGGACAGTTCCTTCAGTCCTCTATCCTCCCTCATTTCATGAATGTGCTGCCTCCTAATTCCAACGCAGAAGCAGATTGTTGCGCTTGACCGCATGGTAAACACGATGAGTTCTTTGTTAAATTTGTTTATAACCTACTCGTTAAGAATTCTTGGGACGATAAGGATGTTAAGTGGTCTAAACTCTGACGTTTGCCCATTCATGAGCGTATTAAATATTTTTTATGGCTTGCTTATAAAGATCGCTTGCTCACGAATCTTAACGGATGTTCAAGAAACCTTACTAACGGCTCTATCTGCGAAATTTATGGCCAGGCGGATGAGTCTGTCTTTCACGTTCTCCGTGATTGCAAGAACGCTAGTGCTCTTTGGAACTCGGTCGTTCTCCACCAACATCTCCAAAATTTCTTTAGTCTTGACCGGAATAGTTGGCTCTCGATGAACCTCGACTCCCATCAGTTGCTTCATGGTACAAGCATTCCTTACGTGTTTTCTTTTCTTTAATAACATGGTAAATCTGGAAGCGAAGAAATTCCATCCTCTTCACTGGCAACGATCTTTCTACTGATCAGATTATCAGTCTCGACAAATCCTGGTCCCAACATTTCATCAACGCAGCCCAACCTTCTCGAAATTCCTGCCCCACCCTTGTCCAATGGAAAGCTGCACCTGCTACTGGTTGGTGTACCCTAAATTTTGATGGAGCAGTTCACATTTTTTCTTCTCATGGTTTTACCGGGGTCTTATTCGCAATTTCAATGGAGATTGGGTAATAGGCTTCCATAAATCGGTTAGGATCTCAACTCCATTAGAAACTTAACTATTGGGCATCTTTGAAGGTCTTCACCTAGCGTGGTCTTATGGAATTGAGAAATTCAATGTCAAACTGACTGTGCAGAAGCTTTTAAGTTAGTCTCATCCCAGAATGCTCGGTTCTTCCCTATTTCCCTGGTTCGCTCTATCGCCAACCTTATCTCCAAACCTTGGATGGTTGATTTTGTTCTCATTCCTCGTGAAGCCAATGTTGTAGGTGACGGTCTCGCCAAACTTATTATTTGTAATGAAATCAACATTACGTCCTCTAGAAAGCTCCTCAAGAAGTCTCCTCCCATTTAAATCGTGATCTTCATGGTCCAACCTTCATTCTTACTTAATAAACCTTTGTAATGTAATGGCCTTGTCCTCTTTTTTTAATTAAAAAAATCAAATCTAATTAGTTTAATTTTTAATGGTATTTATATTCTTTCTTTATCAATGATAATATACATACTTGCAGAGTCAACTGCTTAAATTCAATATTTTTAGAAAAAATAATATTTTATTTTAACCCCTTAAATCAATTGATGAGTTCAAATGTAATAAAATAAAAAATAATAATTTTTTTTTTACAAACGGTAAAGGATTTATAGTACCATTAAACCTAAAAAATGGGACAATCCTCCAAATTCATATATATATATATATGGTACACCCACAACCAACTCCAAAAAAACAACTTTACAAGTTTCTTTTACCCTTGGAGTCAACAAGTTCCCCCAATTTTGCAAGGCTAATTGTTGAACACGTCCCTAAGTTATGGATAAGCGAAAAAGATAAAATATGGACCTGCAACAAAGAGTTTGGCATTAAAAGAGACGAAAGATGAAGGTGAATCTGAGTTATTATTTATTATTGAATTTTTTTCTGATTATTAATCTAATAAGATTTTTTTATTTCTACACCAAATAATCATTGTTTGTGTTTGAAGAGTGGGAAAATTGTGAAAATACAAAAGTTTTGATTATTGGTCAACAAAGAGTACACCATCCTCTCCAGTGTGGCGGTCAACAATCCAAGTAAGTAATAGGTCAAGTAAATAAAGGGTCAGATAAGTTTTTCGTCACCCACATTTAACGGATGTTAACATGGAATGATTGATTTGTAATAAATCGATAACATTGATGATTAATTTGTTACTTTCAAAATTTTAGTGGAGAAAACAAAAACTTACTAAAATATGAGTAATCATTCTTGTAGTTTAACTTTAAAATCATTAAAAGAATCTTAAATCGATACCTAGATATAATATTTTAACAATAATTAAGATTATGAAATAGGACATGTAACACTTGTGATATGATTTTAATTGATCAATGCTACACCAACAAAATGATTAGTTATTAAGATATCATGTCAAACATAAGTACCAATTTTCTCAAATTTATCAAGTTCAAGTACTAATTTTTCTATTAAGTTATTATCATCCCCATCATTATTAGGTTAAATATAAATTTTGATACTTAAATTTGGCTTTAAGATTTAATATGGTATTTGAATATTTTATCCATTTAGGTACTTGAATTTAACTTATTAATTCAAACTGATATCTGAATTTAAATTTTTGGTTTAATTTAATAGATATACCTTTTGGTCTAATTAATTATTATATTTAAAATAAAAATATTTATTTCTTATAAAATTTTAAAATTATTTGAATTTATTTAAGTACATTTGATCCAAAACAAATCAAAATCTAAAGTAATCTTAAATGAACTAAATAATCAATTTGAATTAAAAAGCAAAGTACCTAGTTGGGAAAAAAAGCAAGTGTCAAATTGAACCAAGAAAAGAAATCTAAATTTAGGTACTTAATTATAAAAAGCTCATGTACCAATTTAAATCTGAAAGCCAAATTCAGGTACCAAAATATATATTTCTCTTCTTTATGCCAAAAGTTCAAATTCCACTATTTTCCAGGGGGTTTCCCGTGTTTCCCGGTAGCCAAACAGAGAACAAAAAGAAAACCTACTCAACGTACTCTAAATTTTCAATTTATCGCTCCATACACAACAATACTATATTTTCTTCATTCAAATTCCCTATTAACAGTGTTAAGATTGTTCAATTTGAGTCTCTCAGTTATTTTCAATCCTCAAATCCACCAAATGACTGACGCTTCCGAGGAAGAAGCCAAGCAAATCGAGAAGCTCTACGAGTTCGACGAACGCCTCAATGAGGCCAAGGATAAGTCTCAGGCTCGCCCTTCCTCCCTATCATTTTCTATTCCTAGGGTTTTCACTTCTCTCTGTCTCTAACTTTTTTAATTTCTGATTCATAATGTGAAAGACTATGACGGAATCATCGACGACGCTAAAACGAGCTTAAAGGCAAAACAATTGGCGCTCAGCTAATTGCTCGCTTCTTCAAGTTCTTCCCTAACCTCTCCAGCCGTGCTCTCAATGCACATTTCGATTTGATTGAAGAAGAAGATTTGGCGGTTAGTGTTGAAATGTCAAAGCTTGGGCAGCAGAAAATTGGTTCAAGTTAGGCACCTAATATACAATGTCAAAATTAGGTGCAACAATGTTTGAAAATTAAATGGGCAAATTACAAACTTTAGTCACTAAACTTTAGGATATTTATAAGATTAGTCCTTAAGCTTCAACTATAAATACCTTAGTTCGTTTAGCTTTAAAATCATCCCAAATCATTCTAGCTTTCTTCCAATACTAGAGAATTTAGAGAGTTTCTTGAGAGTTGTTTTCTCTTTTTTTATCAAGAGAGAATTATCATTGTTTTCTCCTTGGTAGATCGAGAGAAGTTGTAATTTTTATTTTCTCATAGTGAAATTCTTCTACCGTTGCACGTGGTTTTTACTCTATATTATTTAGGGGTTTTCCACGTAAATTTTGTGTCTCTTTTATATTCATTTTTATTTTCTCAAATTATCAGTTGTGATTTTGCTTTATCCGATAGTCGTCTTCCGCAACAATTGGTATCAGAACCATATTTGAATGAGTAATATCTGTTTATTGTATTTGTGGTTGCCACCAAAAGGTGGATTCTCCAACATAAGAAAGTAAGAAGGTATTACCCATTCTTTGAAGGTTCCAAAGAACTATTCACGATAGTGAAATAGTGGGAGCTATCCGTAATAGAAGCTATGGCAATGAAATTTGATATTGAAAAATTCAATGGGAGAAATTTCTCATTGTGGAAATTAAAAATGAAGGTCATCCTGAGGAAAGACGGTTGTCTAGCAGCTATCAGTGAAAGGCCGGTGGATTTCATAGATGACAGCAAATGGAACGAGATGGACGGGAATGCTATGACAAACTTTCATCTAACATTAGCAGATGAAGTATTGTCAAGCATCGAAGAGAAGAAGACAACTAAGGAGATATGGGATCATCTCACCAAATTGTACGAGGCTATATCGTTGCACAATAAAATTTTCCTTAAGAGAAAATTGTACACTCTCCGTATGACAGAATATACTTCAGTGACGGAGCACTTAAATACACTGAATACTTTATTTTCTCAGCTTACATCCTTAAGCTGTAAAATAGGAGAACAAGAACGTGTTAAACTTCTACTTCAAAGTTTACTTGATTCGTAAAATCAACTCATCATCAACTTGACAAATAGTAATGTCACCAGTCTAGTCTTCGATGACGTTGCAGCTGCTGTTCTACAAGAAGAAAATAGGAGCAAGAACAAGGAAGACAAACAGGTAAATCTGCAACAAGCAGAAGCGTTGACAACGATGAGAGGGAGATCAATAAAACATGGCCAAAGCAGCAGTCACAAACATGGTAGATCGAAGTCGAGAAGCAAGAAGAATTTAAAGTGCTACAATTGTGGAAAGAAGGGTCACTTGAAGAAGGATTGTTGGAGTTTGAATAAAAACTCCAATCCACAAGGCAATACCGCAAACACTTCAGATGATGGAGATGCTATATGTTGTGAAGCGTCAACCACTGTGGAGGGTATAAAGAGATATGCAGATATATGGCTCATTGATTTGGGAGCAACATATCACATGACCTCAAGAAGAGAATGGTTACATCATTATGAACCTGTCTCAGGAGGATCTTTCTATAGTTGTAATGATCATGCCTTGGAGATCGTTGGCGTGGGAACCATCAAATTGAAGATGTATGATGGAACAATTAAAGTTGTTCGAGATGTGCGAAACCTGAAAGGCCTGAAGAAAAATTTATTATCCTACGGATTGTTGGATAATAATGCAAGCAATATTGAAACACGGAAAGGAATCATGAAGGTGTTCCATGGAGCGCTTGTGGTACTGAAAGGTGAAAATATAGCAGCAAACTTGTATATGCTGAAGGGAGAGACTTTACTAGAAGCAGAAGCCTCTGTTGCCTCATGTAGTTCAGATTCTGCAATGCTATGGCATCAAAAACTTGGACACATGTCATAACAAGGAATAAAAGTCATTGCGGAGCAAAAGCTACTTCTAGGCTTAACAAATGTATCACTTACTTTATGTGAGCATTGCATAACAAGTAAGCAACACCGGTTGAAATTTAACACATCAAATTCTAGAGGCAAAAGTGTTCTAGAGCTGGTTCACTCTGACGTATGGCAAGCACCAGTTACATCCATAGGCGGAGCAAAATACTTTGTCTCTTTTTTTTATGACTACTCCAGGAGATTTTAGGTGTACCCTATTAAGAATAAGTCAG